TAAAAAAATTTTTATGGTTTAAATAGCATTACATTTTGACAGATTGGACAGTTAATAATATATGTGATCTATCTTTTGAATATTTATGTGATTGTGTGTGCGTAAACATTAAACAAAAATATTATGTAATCAAGTAATATATCGATATTTTTAATAAATATTATATAATATCGATTTTTTGTACTGCGCATACCAAAAATATTTGTGTTATTTTATTATCTATAAATGTAATGCATTTGCCCACAAAAATTTGTAAAATAAAATGTTTAAACGTTGAGAATTAAACTCGCAAAAATTGAATTTTGTAAAAAAACAGAACACAAATATAAAAAAAATATTGCATATAATATTTGTTAATACGTTCTATAAACAAATTAAATAAATGCGAATATTTCGCATGCTGACAATATTGTAATATCATACAAGATTAAATTAAAAATTTTGCAATGTGCTGAAAATATTTTTAAATAAACTATATCATAACTCTCATAACTTTAAGATTTGAAAAATATCATAATAATTTTAAACATATGTAAAATTTTAACTTATAAATGAAAGAAAATTTACATTATATTTCTCAATAAGTATATATGTTTGTTAAAATGCATTGTAAAGAGATTGCAAAAATATTTTTCTTCATTATTTTCATTTGCGTAATGGGTCGAACAAACTCAGTTTTGATTTAAAAAAAACATGACGATTTATTTGTAATATTTCGTTATATGTCTGTCATATATGATAAAGGATGGAGATTTTTAAACGGAACATTAAACAATTAATATTCACGCATATAATTTACAAGATACAGCGCATGATAATAATATACAATGTGACATGAAGCAGCAAATCGATGATGGAACAATTTTTTTTACTGCGTAAAGTGCAATACTAATCAATATAAATGAGATACAATTATAATCTTTATATTTTTCTCAATCACCAGAAATAATTTGGTACGTTATATATGTATAGCTTTATCGTCGCTATATAAAAATAACAGAAAAATATTTTAGCAGTTGAGTCACAAAAATATTTAAAAAACATCTTTTTATGTATATATAAACAAATTTTTTTCAAATAAAGGTGCTTTCGAGCATCCCACTTTCTTTTTTCCAGCGTCTCAACCGTATAACATAACTTTAGTTTTAGTTTACTAATATTCTGAATTTCAGATTATTAATTGAAAATTAGTACAATCTTAAGCATTACAAAAAATTTTCTGCAAACATAATATTTCTGTTTGTAAATTAACAGATTGGAAACTTTTCATTATATCAAGCACCGTAAAAATTTGTAGGTCGGAAAATCATATCAGTATTAGATTAATATTTAGAGCGGACAAAGATGATAATGTCTATATACTTTCTTTTCCCGTTCCTCTATTGTGTCTGTGTGTATATGTGTGCGCGTGTGTATGGATTATTGTAATAATGTTATCATTATAGGCTGATAAGGTACATACAAAACAACACACAATAAAAACAATAACATAATATTAACGTGACGCTCACAATAATGATAATATAATATAATAATAATAATATTAATAATAAAATAATATAATAATAATCTTAAGAATATTTTAATAGACATAATAAACATCATCAGTGGTATATTTAATAACTAATTACAATCAACTTGCAGCAAAGCATGGACGGTACGGTAAACGCAACACGACCGTTACCGTCCAGTCGAAATTTCCCATTTAATCATTTCGATTGAGAAATCATTTATTTCGTTATCATTTATATTGTATTATATTATCGTCATTACATAATTATAACTGTTACATTACCGTGGCAGAACTATACACAGTTGTCCGGAACTCAGTCTCTCACGAATTCAAACTCACTCTATCATCTTCGTTTCATCTTCGCGCTCTGTCCGCCGCGCTTCTTCTCGCGCTCAGCTACAAGTTTATTTATTTTTACCGGCTATCTCGAACGTCCGATAATTTCCGACTCACGATTATCCTGTTTTTGTTTCTCTCTTCCTCGCTCCCGATCTTTTCATCTTTCTTTCTCTCTTTCTCTCTCTCGCTTTCTCTCTTTTTTCGATCTCGTTTTCACTTTCGCTTCTCTCTCTCGCTCTATCTATCAATTTTCCCACAGTACAAAGCGCGTGCTCATTTTTCATTTTATAACACATTCATACCCACAGCCGTATAATACATTCATACAACACACAAAACAGATGCACTTGCTTGCAGAGAAGCACACGTATATATACGTGCGCAAATACGCCCGACACACACACACGCCCGCATACGCACACAACATAACATATACATACACAAAATACGCGTATATAATATATTGTAGCCATTCACATAGACTTAATAACCCTTGGTAATTTAGATAATGTTGCACCTTAGAGAATAGAGATCCACTGGGATAATTATTTTTTTCATTAAACATCTGATTAAATTACCTACTTACTCGCTGATGTTTTGTTTAAAATTGTATTCCGGCCGCGCTTAGGACTTCGTTCATACGAGATCGGTTTTTCTCATTTCTTTCTGTTCTCGTCGTGAAAGACATGAACACGGATTTTAAACGAAAGAAAAATAAAACGACCGGAAGATATCCGTCGGCTGATGCATTTATTGGATTTCCAGAGATCAATACTCGCGACATTTCCTGGACGTCACAAATATATACATACGTGTATATATAGTAAATTTAAATCAAGCTAAATTATGTATATACATACATATATATATATACACGCATGTATGTATATGTACATATGTATAAATCTCTGAGAGATTTTTGAGTGCTAACTTTTTAAGGAAGCATTTTTCGACACATGTTTATAGGAAACTTTTTGTTCAAAATTAAATTTTCTATAAAATCTCAAAGTCTAGCCGGAAGGTTTGGGTCCACCCTGTATATTTTTCATTTATAACATTTTTTATGAATTTTGATTTCCTTGTTACTTTTCAAATCTATAAAATATAGAATACGATAAATAAAAAGATTTTGATTAACCTTTCCGGATTTTTATTATTAATAACATAATACTATATAATAATCGCAAATGTCGATTTTTTAAGAGTAGGTGCAACGTCCAGTTTTGATCGACAAATATTTGGAATATCCAATGGCATAATTAAAAATATTATTTAAAGGCGTAATTTTATCGGAAAAACTTTCCAGATCGATTTTTTTTTAGCAACTAAGTAAAAAATGTCTTATATTTCACCGATAGATATTATTGCCAATAAAAATAATACAAAATTACGCTATCGTCAGCAAGTTGTAAAGTTATTCAAAGCGTTAAGTACCACAACCTTTAATTCTTTTCACGGCAAGACTTTTGCCCGCGCGGGCATGTAAATACTGAGCGTACATGCAATCTTGACCCTGCATAATATCATGGTTTTTATGAAGATCCCAAACTCAGCCTAGAACGGTACAATCACGACCACTCACTAGAGAGTCTGACTACTAGGTATATTTTTAACACAAGTCGTTTTTCTTCAATACAAGAATTATAGATACTAATTTGCGATTCTTGTGGTGATTATTACGACACATTGTGGACGTAATTATCTAACTTTTGGGATACGCTCGTGCTCTACACTGATTTCGAAACTTATTACATTCTTTATTTTGTCACGGCAGACAAAATAGTATGACGTTTCTCCTCGGTCTCCTCGGAGAAATTAATAAATTATAAATAATAAGCATCCCGATAAATGTAAACTACACTACAAATTTGTTTAGACCAAGTGTAGAATTTATCTACAAAACGTTTGAATCAAATATTGAAAAACTATTACTTATTAAGAACAGATATTTGCACTGAGTCTACTGTTAATAAAATTTTTATGCTATTTTATTACGCTTCAAGAAAGTGATATAAACAAATTAATATAAAAGTACAAATGACAAAAGTGGAAAATCTTTCTTCAATATATTAGCTTTTTAATATTAGTTGTATGTAGATATACTCGACAAAAGATTTGTAGACCTTTAACGCGATCGTAACCCATATCAAAGTGAAAAAATAATTTAAAGAACAATGCACATGCACTTACGCGAGATCAGTGAGTCCACTTACCCCTAAAAGCGACCCATCATCCATTTTACAACCTGCGATTCTCGACGGACCATCCAGCCCTAACTGCAAAATCAATGGTGTCTGATTGAATCGGTCCCGGATGTAACTGCAACGATACGTTACAATGTGCGACTCGGATCCGATAATATAAGACGAGGTAAATACACGATGCGGAGCGGAAGAGAGGATATCTTGGGAAGGGGAGGGAACTCTTAGAGCGGTGGGAGGAGTAGGGGTACACTAAGTGACATTAATTACCTCTTTACTTTATGTATATATGTATATATAACTGGAGAAAATACTACCGAATTACGAATTGGACAGATTGCTTGGTGTCGCTCGATGACGCGTATTACTCGTAGAATAGCGGCATCCGACACCGACACTCGAAAAGAGTCTTCGGGCCGCTTGAAATAGCGGCGCCTTTTCTATACAATAGCAAAAACTCTTCGCTTGTTGAATAATAATAATAATAATAATAATTAATAATAATTAATAATTAATAATATATAATATACTACGCGCGAGCTTTATCTTTCCTTAATGGAGGCAGTCTTTGAACGGCTGCTCGACAGAGTCCATGAGGATTTTTCATCGTTCCCGTGGACATGGATATTGATCGACGGTTTCGTAGAATCGCCTCGGTGACATCCCCGAAGCGTCACGAACGGGTCTTTCTCTGGAGCGTCCTGTGCATTCAGGCGGCCAAGCCGTGAGGCGTCTGATGTAGGAGCGCGGGATACTGTTGAGCCACGTGCGCCAGCTGATGATGATGGTGGCCGCCGGTGTGTGCGTGCGCGTGTGTGTGTGGATGGACTACGGCCGTAGCAGGCGTAACGTTGCCCGACGACGACACGTGAATCGGCGGCAGCGGCGTCTGCGGCTGCGGCGCGTGGAGGCTATGGCTGCTGTGACCTGCTACCAGGCTGCTATGGCTGCCCCCGTGGCTGCCACTGCTGCTGGACGAGGTGTGGCTGTGATGATGGTGCCCGAAGACGACCCCAGAGAAGGCCACGGGTCACTGATGATGCTTCGTGGAGCCGTTCGCGTGATGCGCCTGCGCGACCACGTGGTGACTCGAGGGTGGTGCGTGCGCGGTGCTCGGATGGTGGTGACTGCCGGTCGCCGCGTGGTGGTTCGCGTTGTTGGCGCTGCTGCTGTTGTTGTTGTTGTTGTTATTCTGCTGCTGGGTTTGCCGTTGACTGTTCTTCTTGTTCTTCATTCGGCGATTTTGAAACCAGATCTTCACTTGACGCTCGGTGAGATTCAGATTGCGCGCGAGCTCCCACCGCTTCTGCTTCGACACGTAAGCGTTGAAGAGGAACTCCTTCTCCAGCTCGAGAGTTTGGAATTTGGAGTAAGGCTTGCGTTTCTTCCGCACCGTCACCTGGCCCGTCCACTCCAGGGGATTAGAGCTGCCGCATCCAACGCCCATCCCGGCTACGCCAACCCCGACTCCCACACCCGCAAGCGAACCTGCGGGAAACAAGGAAGATGGGGAGGAACCCCACATCACTTAACACAATTAGTTTGCCGATGATAAAACAACCTAGCTGCTAGCTAGTAATATTCGACTAATACTCCATTCAAAGAAAATTATATCAATTCATAAGGCAAATGTTGTTCAATCCTACTCCGCTCTGCCCTTACGAAATTTATTATAGTCCGAATAATTCAAAAAATAAATCTCGATACATATATAAACCCAAAATACACAGATATTAATAAATTTATTAGTTTGTACACTAGTTTTTCATTTACTCGTCGGCACATCCAAGCGGATTTTCAATAAGAAAAGCGGTTGTACCGGTACCTTTTTTTTCTCGTTATTACCGCCAGTCATTACTACGGAGCGACTGGCAAAAATGAGCGCAGATATATCGGTTCGTTAATCAGTGTATCGGCGCGTAACTGATACCGTTAGTCCTTTTTTATCAGTAAGCGTTTCATAATCGTTCACTACAAATAACTCTGTTGTATAGTTTGTTGCATAATAAGACAATAAAAGCAAATTGTGCGTTTGTATTTATTATGGAAAATTATCACCTCGTATATGCGAACAGATTGAGTCAGAGAAATTATTAAAATGATAAAGAGATATTCACCACTAATTTCACAAAGTTCATAAACCTCGAGAAAGGGGAAATAAGACGAACATCCAGCATTTAATTGCATCCGTCGTATAATTATATTAAAACTCTTCAGATCGCCGCTAATTATAATGGAGGAATGCAGTATCTTTCAATTAACTTCTTTCAATTAGTATGGCAAATTATTGAAGATATTCTTCTATAAACAAAATTTATTGAAAAAATTAACTAATGTATCAACTTTTTCACCCGCCAAACAAATTTCGACAAAATAATGTTCATTTATTTATACATTAATTTCTTTTTGAAAATTAGAATAATATCTCTCCACAAATTTCTGCTAATATCAAATAAAAATTCTCTTGTTTATATTCCACATTCAATAATTTATATATAACATATGTATATATACATGTCTATAACCAAAATAAATAAGCATAGAATAATCTAGAGGGAGAGAAAGCATTTTAAAATATTTTAGCATACAATATTTCTAAAAGGTTCGTTATATTTTTTAAATTATATCTCCAATGTATTTAATAAAAAAAAAATTCGTCATATTTCTAATATATATTTAATAAAATTTTACTTTCTTTCGTAAAAATATTATCATAAATATTTTACTCTCGCGATAGCATTAAAGTATTGTTTCTGCAAACTACAAAGGAAAATTTGAAAAATATTATTTTTTATTCTCAATCCTTTGATTCCAATTTTTTCTCGTATTGGGGAGCATCATCGACTGAATCCGTGCCTGGGACAGCTCTCCGAATGTCAAAACGTGCACTTCAGCTACGCATGTGTGTGTGCGCAACATTAGTCGTGTATACATATACATATATATGCGTGCATATGTGTGTGTATATATATATATATATATATATGCACACACGAGGGTTGCCTCGCAGTCGTTCCCGGCATAGTGGTATGATATAATTGGACCGGTTCTACTAACCACACGAAAAACATGAAGCCGGCGAGCGAACCGTTGTTAGGTTCCTTCTCGACTGGTTGATGGTTTTTAACAGGGCATACTCTATGTCCCGTTGCAGACCGAGAATGTGGAGCGACGCGAATACATTTGTTAAAGCGGAATATACAACGGGATGGTGCGCAAGGTGCATACCCGCGCCAGTGGAACGGAGCGATTACGAAAGCCCGCGACTCATCTCCCGCGGTCTATCTTTAACCCAGCCGCGGACTGGATAAACGCCTCCTTAGTGTACGCGAATGCAACAAAATTGTTTCTATCCATCGGGATGTCTCGCGATATTTAAAAATTTTGTTTTAAGTACATTCGTATAGTTGGGGAAAGAAGAGGTGGAGTAGAGGCGAAGAAATAATGTTCACCGAATATATCGCTGTATTTTATACATCGTACAAAAATGTTAAGTATTCTTTTTTTATCTTTGGGTGAATAAAGATATTCCTCCTCCTCTCCTCTCCAATGAATATTATTTGCCTTGTCACCTGCATATTCTATCAAACAGTAAAAAATTTATAGCTGACACACCTCACGTGTTATACGTAATGTGTTCTATAAAGTTTTTTCAAAGACTGATTCTGTATTAAAATACAATATATGACCGTAATATTGATTGAGGTAAATAATTAGTTTCATAATAAAAAGAAATTTGATTCGCGCAAAAGTATTGCAAATTATCCAAAGGGGATTAAATCGTTTATTTTTAGCCTATCTAAGGCTAAAATCTGAACAAACGCATTGTACCGGATGTAGTATTATGTCTGATCCGTCGGAACATATGCTTGCGATGGGCGCCACCCGCGCAACATTAAGTATATTTCAGATGTCACGCAGGTATTTTTATATATTCCAGTTGCCACAAAATTTCCTACATTTATTATCATTAAAATTATTATTTCTCTTTTAGTTAAAAAAAAACCTTGTTTCTAGCTTAAATAAAATAAAAAAAATATAAAAATACAAACTTCTTATTTAATATGCAAATTAATTAATATCTCCAACACAAGAAAGCACACGGTTGTCCGAAAAGCGAAAAGTTTCGCTCTTCGAGTTTTACTTCAATTCAATTATTGAACTTTCCTTTCGTCCTGGAGCCTGTCTCTATTTTCCTTTCCCGCTTGATATATTCTCTCGTTGCCTAAACGCGATTATTTGAGCGGCAAGAATTTACTACTAACGTACAAATTGTTTAATAAAGATCAGGAAATGTTGACAAATGTAACAAATAGAGAGAACACATATAATATATAAATTTTAAAAAATTCAATGTTTAAAAAGTTAAAATAAATAAATCTTATAATCCCCATAAAAAATAATAAAAAAAATAAAAAAGTAATAAAAAATATATGCAGATTGAAAGATATCCGGAGATTGATCAGAATTTGTAGTTTTTTTGAATGACATCTAAAGCTCTGACAGAAATAATCGAAGGGTTCGTAACCGGGTCGAGTGATGGGAGTAAAATATCGATTGGAAATAATTCAATATCTTTTATATCTATCGTTTTCGTTGTTACTGATATAAAATCAAATATATGCAAATTAAGAAAAAAATTTAAAAAAAAATTTAGCATTATATTAAACATATTGAGCAGTATTATAAAAATTAATTTGAAATGTATGGTTTATTCAATTTACTTAAACATTCAAGAAATTAAAATTCATAAACTATTATCGTATTCCTAACATTTCACTTACAAATAATTTTATTTCGCACAAAGAGAGAGAAGATAAGATAACAGAATCTTTTTTTAAATAAAAAGTAAAAATAGTATTCTCAAACGGCCTATCAAAGTTTCTTATTTCTATAAGCGGATGAAATATTTGATTTTCGAAAAACCGTCGACTTGATAAAGCCATACTTTATGCTAAATTTATTCTCTGTCCCGTAATATAAGTGCGCATAATAATGACCGGTAGGCCTCAAAGGCCTAATTAAGCGGCGAACACCGATCCGCGGTATTAAATACGGACCAATAAATGCCCGGCGTTCCCGGTGATGCGCGGAGATAATATCTCAAGCGGAGAACCCAGGTTGTGCGCGGGGACACCTGGAAAACATTGTAATCCGGCCTCTCTCGGAGAGATTACCCGGACTAATATGGGATGGCACGGCGCGATACGGTGCAAGCGGCGCACTCTCTGGTGTCGAGCGAACGGGTAAAGATAATGGAGCCGCCATCTATCGGGTGACGTTTAAACTATACACAGTGCCCGGCCGCGTTTCTCTATTTTGTATATACGTATACGTAGCGGGGCACACGCTTGCGCACACTCTACCCTCGTGCGCGTACGATTAAAACTCACTGGGTGATCACGCGAGTGTTATCTGAGTTATCAGAGCGCCGTCGATGACGGTCGCACGAGCAACAAAGCAACGATAATCGCGACGACGAGCGTTATGCCAAGTACATTCAGGCGGCGATACGTAACTTTTCAGAAGGACAAAGCGAGCGAATACAACGCGACGATCGATAAAAAAAATACCTCTTTATATAAGCCTGATATGAAATTCAAATATTTCCATGCGTATGGAAAGCGTATTACAATTTCATCGTCATATAATTATGCTGAATGTAATTTACAATCTCTGGTATATTACATACATACACTGTATGTGTAATGTAACAGGATATACAACATAAATTAATGCTATAAAATCTCGATCTTTGAATTTTCTCGGCAGATAATAAAATAGTAACATAATGCCGCATTAAAAAAAAAAAAAAAAATTATATATATGTATACATATACAATTACGTACATATAAATATTTTTTAATGAAGAGTAGCGGCATTTTTAAGATATCATTTCCCTTAAAGAAACGTTCGATTATGTGAAAAAAAGTTATTGTACACAAATTTGAAATAATGGGGAGATAGTCGTGACAATACAAGCGCGCGAACAGCCGTTAGCCGGAAAGACTGAACGCCTGCACGGGTCATGGAACGGATCAGCTGATCGGAGGCGCGCGCCAGAGTTTACGAGTTACGGCCGCCAATAAACCCCGGCCGCCGTCGTTCGTTGTTGCTCATGCGACGTTTCATGGGTTGCAGGGTCCCGAGAAAAGGACAGAGAAAGGGAGGAAGAGGAGAGAGCACAAAAGGGAACGATGTGAATGAACGATAACTGCGGTCGAATAAGTTCGTCAGGATCGTCGGGAAATACTCGAAAGGTCATAATAATAGTAAGTATCATGTGCAATTAATATAAATTAATGGCCATCTTTTTATCACATGTGATACATCGTTTTTTCGAAATGTCTTCGTTCAATCTGTCGTTATACGTTAAGGTGACAAATTAATTATAAATTTCAAATATCACAGGTTCATTAATTTCGAATGAAATCTCAGGATCTGACGGCCGATGAACATTATATCGATTTATGATACTTGTGAATACAGAAAACTATCCGAGGTTTACGACCTCTTCGTTGTATATAGGAGAGTGTAAATGATAGTTTTACATTAATTACGAGCGGCAAAATATGTATATATTTCTAACAACTCAATCTCTTTATTAATAATTCAACAATATAAATAAAAATATATCAGCGATGGTAATATTGCGCGATAATATAAATGTTATTATTCAATGAGTTATATGATGTTACGTTTCAGCTTTATAATATATGTATAAATTTGGAAAAAGATTTGAATCTCTCCGAGACCCCTTGTAAGAAAAGAATAAAAATAAGGAATTACTACGAGACGGCGTAGATGCTTACCTGGAGGTGGATAGGGACTCGAAGTAACGGGTTCTGGTGCTCCATAGTTTCTCAGACCGCCGTATCCATCGTGGGGAAAGGCACCTTCCGCGGCGACCATAGCGGCAGCGACCCTACCGCGGTCGTCAGCCGCGGATGGCGCCAAATACGGTACCCCCGCCTGCGAATGAGGATGATGATGTCCAGCCGTGTCCACCGGATGATGATGCCTCGCCGTCGTATAGGGCGCGTAATTGCACCAGCTCTGAGAGAAGCTCTGATGGCAAGAGGAGACGGCCGGATCAGCGGCGCCGGAGGTAGACCCACCACCGCCGGTGGACGACGTTGTTGTTGCCGCGCCGGCCGAGTTGTAGGACTTGTAATCCGAGGTAGAGCCAGCGGTGCCGGCCGATCCGGCAGTGGCGGGTGACCAGAAGCTAAGAGTGGCCCCGGCCTTCCGGTTGTCCCTGGAGGAACCGGAAGTCGAGGTGGGATCGGCCGCCAGGTTGTAATACGTGGGGGGATTGTTACCCCCGTAGGCCTGATGATGGTTCAACGATTCGCCGCCGCCCGTCGTGGACGAGTAGTGGGAGTCCTGAGGATGGTGCGGGCTGTAACTCCAGCCGCCTTGAGAACCCGCCGAGGACGAGTGTGAGTGCCGTATCACGCCCGCCGCCCCCGCACCGCCCGGCGCGCCCGACGACTCTACGCAGGCAACCTCACCGTAAGTGGAACCACCGCCCCCCGGTGTCGCCGTTAATCTCTTGGCGGGTATATGAAGCGGTCCGGCCGCGCTGTTGCTCGCTACCGAGGAAGCGCTCGGCGAGGTTGAACTGGCGCTCGCTGTGGGCGCCGGTGGCGCTGTCGTTGCCGATGATGCCGGTGCACCAGGTGAAGTCGGCGTTGTCGCTTGTTGATGGGAGCCCGGTGTCGTGGTTGTCTGCTGTTGAATCGATACGAGGGTCGAGGCTGTCGGTGGAACTGGCGGCGGGCTGTCCTCGTAGAGGGAACCGTTCATCATGGCCCACCAGGTCACCCCGGTGGAATTCCCCGCTCCGGTTGCTGTTCCCATCGATGTGACGGAGCCAGGGTGACCCACGCCGGAGCCACATAGCGGCGCGGCGTGAACATTATCGTACAGCGTCGCCGTCGAGCAAGCCACGTGATCGGCGATGGTGCAGATGATGACGATTTATTGCCGGTGTTACAACAATATTTATGCCGATGTCGGTGTCAATCGGCACGTACAACGACGGTCTCGTGACCGCCGTTCAACGATAATCCCGCCGAAATTCGCGCGATGCACAAGTTTAGACCGATCAACGTTCACCCGATAATCGCAAGGTCATCGTAAGTCGAGTAACAATTGCCGTATATAAATTAATAATTTTTCCAATGTTCAAAACACAGCGAAACACAGCGTATACCGCGGACAGGTTCGATGGAAAACGCGATAGAACGTGCGTCAACACCGAGGATATTCACCGCGGAGCGAGAAACGGTGCGCTCATCGTGACCGAGCCGGTCGTGTTGGTCCGTGAATTCACGGAGTAAATAAAGGAAGCGCGTGCACACACAAGAAGGTAGTGGAGGCGCGAGGAGCAGGAGGTGGCGGGTGGGGATAGGGATAAATCGTGCGCGTAGTCCTCGACGAGGGGTTGACGGCGGGGGAGAGGGTGTGTAGCGCCGCAGCAGACAGGTGGAGGGGTAAACGCGGGACGGAGAAGCGAGAAGGGAGCGCGATCAAGTGCGTGGCAAATCCGCCGACAAAAGGATCCACACGCGGCGATGACGACGAAGACGAAGACGATGTTGACGACAGCGAATGGGATGATCGATGGGACGGCAGGCGAGCCACGTGCGAGATGGTGTAGATCGGTTAGCACAGATGATAATGTCCAATCCAGCGATGATGTGGAAGACGAGTATATAACAAAAACAAAATGACACAACGCGATTTAGAAAGGATGCATCATTCCAGTCGCAAAAGTTCGGAGTGCGCTCGTTATTAAAGCTAAGGCAACGTTAGAACCAGCGCGTGCGTGGTTCTTAAAAAAAGATCAGCACCAGACACTTGGCAATCGTCGATCTTTGAGCGAGCTAACTCACTGCGCGACCGAATGCATTACGATCGTCCCGCGACCGATTATACACAAGCCGCACGTCGTTCCGTCTCTGTCACCTAAGATCGCTGTCATTCTCATCACGATGGGACTCCGAGCGCGCTTCATTAAACGTCCCGCCTGTTCGCGATTGGCATATGTCGCGTTATCTATCCAATCACGTAACTCACAACTGTAACGACGCAAATCCGAGCATTTGAAGCTGAGAGAGTAATAAGGAGACTAAGGAGAGAGAACGTATCTCTGATCGGACCGGGATCCTTTTATCTGCCGCGTGTGTCGTCTTCAGGTAGTAGTCAGTCAGGTAGAACCACCCCTCGTGTAACAAGCTTAATACAGCGAAGGATTTTCAGTAGGTAGCAAAGCCTCCGGTCCCGAGGATCGTGCGCCGATACACACACGCACGACG